TGCAGAGCCAAAAGCACCCTTTCCTCTGCTTGAGATCTCCCTTTGGAGGAAGAGAACAGTTAGAGAACTCCTCTCTGTCATGCTACAACAGACACCAGGATGACAGGTCAGCAGCCTTTCCCATACCTGGGCAACATGATGAGCAGCACTGGGAGAAGCAGAGAAGATTCCACATTGCAGCTCGCAGGGTTGGGAGTTTGCGGGTGTGAGGGTGTCCAGAGAGGAGGCTCAGCTGAGGAGCACAGACACAAACGTGCATTCCTGAGCCCTCTTTCTCTTCCCTTCATTTGGTGCCCCTTTGTGCATCCCTGTGCCGTGCACACACTCAGGCTGCCACAGAGCACCATCATGCTCCTGTGATAACATTTATCTCCCACACACATGCTCACACATGGCAGGAAGTCAGTGGAGCAGGGTACACGCACCTCACGCCTGCATGCAGGTGTCATTCCCCACTGTTCCCAGCCAGCCAACTGGTTTCTCACATCTCAGGCTCCCTCTCAGTGCCCTGCCCAGCTGCAAAGAGACGTGTCTCTTCCTGTCTCAACCTTTCCTCTTCGCACATCTCTCGGGCAGGTTGCTGGAAGGAGGTGGCCTTTCTCCATGGTTCTCCACTGGTTCCTTGTGGCCATCCTGGCCCCTGTGGGTAAGTGAGCTTCCCTTCCGCTTGAACAGCTGCACTGGAGCCACTGCTGCTGCCTCAGCTGTGTGCCCAGCTGTTGGCAGTGCCCCATTCCCCAAGGCTTCCAGTGGGAGGGTAGGCAGTGAACGAGGTGAGCTTTTCCTCAACCTCTTAACTCCAAAACCTCTACAGATCTACAAATGGGTTTTTTTCTGTCCCATTTTAGTACTTTGATTGAGAGTACTGAAGTCATTATTTTTCATAACAAATTTGCAATTGTATTTGAAGCTGCTTTGTGGGTTTTTTTTCTCCTACGTGTCTCTCAGAGAAATGGGACAGTGTCCCATAGCTTGCCGACATCCTTATGACACCCCACCCCACCCCATGTCTTACTTCAAGGATGTGTTTTTGTGTCCCCTTCAGTGCGTTTCACTCCTCACATGTCTTCCCTTCTCTTTCCAGGCCAGGCCCTTCAGCAATCGCCAGACACAGTTGTCCGAGTGGGAGACTCTGTGACTCTCAGCTGTTCCCAAGAGGGGAATTTATTCTCCAGCATGTACTGGTACAAGCTGCCCATGGGGAAGGATGCCACTCTGCAGTTGGTTGTATACTCAGTGGAAGGTGGCGTGGCAGAGTTTGAGAAGGAATTCAGAAACCACTTCCAGAGTAATGGCACTAAGGGCAACCACTTATCTGTGAAGATAGCTCATGCCCTACTCAATGACTCAGGCACATATTTCTGTGCTGAGCAAGATTCACAGTGATGCAAAAGCTGGAGCAGCATAGCACAAACCTTTCCATGCATACAGGGATCTGCCCCCAGCACACACACAGAGCCCTGCATTTGACAGCACCCCATTTTCTCCTCTTGCCCTCCAGCTCTGCCTAATTAAGGAAAGTGGTGGTACCACCTGTCTGTCTTCTGCCTGGTCTCCAATTTCCTTCCTGTTCTTTCCCATCTCTGAATCACCTTTTGGCCCTCCTTTCTTATTTTACTCACTGCCTTGCCTCATTTCTCTGCCATCCATAGACTGCCTCTCCCTTTCCTCCTCTACTCTCTTTCTCTCTGTCCCCTTCCCCTTTCTGCTCTGTCCTCTCTCACATCTGTCCCCCTCCTGTCCCCTTCATCCTCTTCCACTTCTCCCTTTTAGCCTCTTACACTAACTCATGGCTAAGCAGGATGTGGAATAGTTCACACGGCCCTTTCCTTCTCCACCAGCTGGAAAGCCAAGGCCAACCTGAAGATGAATCTGGCACGGGATCCCAGAACTGAGCACTCCTGCCTGTGCTTATGGGCCTATGAGCTCCAAGGGTCTCCTGCAATTGCTCACACTGCAGTTTCCAAGAGTACAGGTGCCTTGCTGGTAACCTGGGGCTCAGCACACTGCCGTGTGCAAGGGGCTCTGAGCTCCAGAGCGCCAGCAGGACCATGCCACTGAGCGCTTCTATGTGCATGCTTGTCCCTTGGCCCCACCAAACTCCGGGGAATGGGCATGCTGCTGTGCACCAGGGTCCCCGAGTTGCACTGCTACCTGTTGCTTTGGGCTTCGAGCCACCCAGGAGAAGAGCTTGTTCTACTAAACCTGACAGGAAGTGCCCCACTAGCATCACACACCACACAGCATCACCTGGGCAAGGGTTTTATAAAGCACAATCACAGCAAAAGGGAACAGCTGGGAACGTCACTGTTCTCATGGTTTTCCACAGGTGGTCACTGAGTCAAGTGCTCCCACAGCTACCCTGTGACCTGAACGCTCTGATGTATGCGATGTAGCCCACGTCTCGATGGTATCTGGGGACGGAGCATGGCCCTGTAGGTGAGGAGCCCCAAGCCACAAGGTGCTCTGTAGCAATAACCCACCATACCTTTGGCTCTGCTAGCCAGAATGGAGGTCTCAGGGCCAGGAGGGGGATCATTCTGCTACCCTGTTCCACACTGGGGGGCCACAGCTGTGGACTGGAACCACCTTGCGTCCCCAGGACAAGGCAAAGTCTATCAGGGGTCTTGGAGATGGTAAGCACTGGAGCACAGGGCAGGCGGGGAGAGGTTGAGGGTTCTGGGTTTGTCTGGCTAGAAGACAAGAAGGCAGGGGAACATTAGTTGCAGCCTCTCATTCCACGGAGGAAGCTGAGGATGGGTCAGAGACAGAGTCTTCTTGGAGGTGCTCAGGAAGGGACTGAAAGGTGATGGGCACAAGCTGGGATGGGGAAATTCTGCTGAGGCAGAGGGACAAATCCTTTGCCAGAGGAGTGAGGCAGCCCTGGGGCAGGGCCTGGTACTCGAAGGAGTGGTTTGCATCTGGGGAAGCCTTCCAAACTGCCCTGGTCCAGGCCCTGAGAGACGTGCTCCAATTCTAGAGCCAACCCTTACCTGAGCGGAGGGCAGACTGGAAACCTTTGGATACCACCCCACCAAGTACCTCTGTGAGCCTTTGTTGTATTCCCCAATGCGGTACAGCTTTCAAGAAGAATGGGGGAATGTTGGACGAGAGGGTCTTTGTGGTACTCACATAGACTGCTGGTTCTCTATTAAAGTCCTGCCAAGAAAGACAAATGTGTGTTAACCCTGTCTGGCGACGGGAAGAAGGGGATAGAAAGTTACTCTCTGTGGAAGAAAGGTGCCCTCCATCCCTCTTCCCTATGCAGACCATTTCATGGTTCTGGTGTTACAGGTAAACACCTTTGCTGAAACCAGTTCTGGGGTTCTTAAGCCCCTGTGATTTCAAAGAGATTCTAGTGGCGTCCCATCACACAGGATTCCAGTCTTAGATCAGGGCCCCAGGCTTTGTCCAATATGAGTGTCCTCAAGCCGTGACTGAACGTCCAGTGCTCCTTACTCCATCACACAGAAGAGCTCAGCTCCCTTTCAGCCATTGGGGCTGCACTCCACTCTACCTGGACCTCTCTGGACCGGACCAACCCAGCCTGGCTGCCCCTGCCCCCACTTCCCTTTGTCCCTTGGTCAGGGTGTGATGGATGCCCTGCCTGAGGCAGGAGGTGGAGCCAAGGCCTGGGGTTTCTCCCACATCCCACTTACGTCCTGGCCATTCAAAGCATTGTTGACCACGATCCTGCTGTTGAACCTGCCTTTGCCCTGGGAAGACAAAGGGATGTCACTCTCTGCCAGTGTGAAGCGGGGGCCACTCTATACCACTGCCCAGGGCCAACGTTCAGCTATCAGCCCAAACCTCTGCCCACACAGGTCCAGCCTGGGAACTGACTGCTCTGCACTCCTGTCTCCAGGTTATAGGGCGCAGACAGCCTCCCCAGAGAAGGAGAGGTCATAATCCACTTGGGGATTAATCCCATAATCCCCCGAGGAAGTGATCCCATAATTCTTTGGGGATTAATCCTATTACCCCAATGAAAAGAATTCTGTAATGCCGTTGAGGAGTAATACCATAACCCTCCTGAGGTTAGTCCCATAAACTCAGTGGGGATTAATCCTGTGATACCAAATGGAAAAAACTCTGAAATCCCATTTGGGATTATTCCCAAACTACACATGGGCATTAAGCAGGTAATTGCAACGTGATTAAACCCATAATTGCAATTCTATTTCTCTCATAATACCAGTGAGAAATAATCCCATATCCCTGCCAAGAGAGAAGCCAGAAGTAATCCTGAGACAGAGACCATCCACCTTTTTCCCTGAGGGAGAATCACAGGGCTGCAAACAGCGTGGTTCAGGATGCCTAAACCTTTTTGTGCAATTTTGCATAGCAGGTATTAGGGGTTAATTTTTCTGCCCTCAGCCGCAGTGGCAACACAAGACTGCCTCTCAGGGAGCTCAGTCCTCAATTTTGGACCCAGCCCTGCCCTGAGAAGAGGGGAGTGCGGTCCTGGAGGAGACCTCCCTCTCCACCTCCCTGGTCCTTCTGTGTCTAAGGTCCGTACCCTCCCTGCCCCCAGGTTCGTTACTCTTTGCACATTCCCCAGAGACAGAGACTCGTGCCACCACTGCCCTGGGCTGTGTATGTTTTCACCTGGGCTTGGCAGAGAAGCCCTAGCCCCACTTCATGACCCTGTGCAGAGCTCTCAGCCTGGTGGGAGGAAGGGGCAAGTTTGTTTGCTACTCATCACGATGAGGATATGAAATCTGGGTTCACGGCACACAGAAACTCTGAAGAGGAACACAGGGAGCAAAGCAGGTCTCTCACCACCACCTCCCACCCCCAAGCCAAGGAGAGGAGAGGGGCCACAGCTGCATGCTGGCTGCTCACGGTCACCTTTCTGATTCCGCCATTATTCTGAAAGCTTTCGGACTCCCCCCATGGAAGCTCTTGCATGCAATCGAAAGGGTGATGGGTGGGGGTAGGGGGGTATG